GAGGAGGAACCATATAAGCAACAGCCATGTACTATAAATGATGTTTTAAAAAGTACACATGAAGGCTAACATGCTGGGACTGTGAGTCCTTTAGCGCTGCAGTAAATATTTCTGATGAGATATCAGTACGTAAGGTAGGGGACGGGAGAAGGTGGTGGAGTTGAGTATGTAGGAGGAGCAACACAGGAGCAGAGTGTTTGATGTGACAGCTGGAGATTGTAAGAATGAGGGGTGACACAGTGCTCCAGCTTCCTCAGCCCTGGTCGGTCACCCAGTCAGCCTGTCAGTCAGTCACTCTCTGAGATTCCAACTCTGTTTACTCTTGTGTTATTAACATGTGTGAGTCTCTTTGTATGTGTGTGTGTGTGTCCGTGTTTATCCTCAGGCAATAGATCTGGAAGAAGTGACAGTGTGGCGTGGCCCTCTGTCAGTCGCCCAGTAAAGTGGCATGCGTGTCAGCTCTCCTGACAGACGCTCTCATCCTGCTGGCCAACGGTGGCGGCTGCAAATGTGGGACATGTCTTGTGACAGAGCGACACAGCCTACACGACAACTCGGCATGCAGACAGGACATGAGCAGTCAAGTTTGATGTGAGGGGGGTCACTGCTGAGGGCCCGGGCTCTCAGAGGGTGAGTGAAAGCTGCGGTGATCTCTGCACAGCTGGAGATGCAGCAACTATGCTTCACCTCACAGTCTTTTGTTTTTAAATGGATGGAAAGGAAACCTGCTTTTGCCAGAGGTTTGCTGACACGGTTCTTACTGTAAATGCACCATGTATGGCATCAATTAATCACTGCACACTGCAACAATATCGTTAACAAATAAGTGGAGTAAACGAGAAGAATTAGAGATCAATTAGTTTGTACTTAACCTGAGATATGGTCGATGAATCAGTTTCAACACTATTTGAAAGATTTGTGTATAGTTGTGTATTGGCGATAGACTAACTGATAGATAGAGGTAGTCATACTGCTGAAAACAAGATCAGTACTAAGGGAATCTCTGTAAATATTTAAAGATCTTTAATCTTCCCCATTAAAACAGCTGGGAGAATAGTCCAAATCTAGCACAGGTAACTATTTAAACAGAAATGTAAAGGCAGGTGTTAAAAAATGTAGCACACAAATTTGAAATACATAAAAAAAATATGCAGCAAAGGTTTTAATTTTAGTTTTTGTCTGTTTGTCAACACCAAAGCTGCTCACGGTGCTTCAGTGTTTAATGAAACTGGGGCGGTTGAATAAATCTGTTCCACTGTAATATGTTTTCCTCTGAATCATAGTTTCCTTTTGTTGTTGTTTTTTTTTTGTTGTTTTTTTTGCCTGTCCCATTTGGTTCTTTAGCCGTCAGAATTGTTG